AACGTGCCAAAACAAAACTATATAAAACAGCGATAATTACCGGTTACCTTCACATTTGAGAAAATATCTGTTTCGTTAGACCGTCGGTTGATATCGTTGAATCAAATCCTGTTCACTGGAATGGTTCACGGTTGTGGAGCTAAATTGTCTTCGCGTTCGCACTGAAGTAGGTATCAGTCCCCATAAGCTTGGCAAACGGCAAGAGCTCAACATGACATTACACCTGAGAACCTGCGTCAAGAGGGCTGGTGAGTCGGACCTTGTGGAAGACACGATCAGCTACAAGAACATCGCAAAAGATGTCCTATTCCATGTGGAGAATAAAGAGTACAATCTCATTGAAACTGTGGCAACCGACGCTGCTCGCATTTGTGTGGCAAGATACGGTATTACATCAGTGAAAGTGACCGTAGAAAAGCCGAATGCTTTAAGGTTTGCAGAAAGTTCATCGGTGACAATTGATCGGTGCTGAGAAGACTTTAAATGGCATGAAGCTCATGTATTAATTGGGTCAAACAATGAGCCAGAAAAGAACTATTTGCTAAAGAGGCATACGAAGATCATAAAGTTCTCCAAAGTATTTAAAACGACACCAGTGGGAATAAAGGAGCAGGCTGATTTTATCAATATGGCAGTTGTCATAACGACGAAATTCGACCTTTCAGGGTAAGAAAGTCGACTTACGTATCAAATAATCTGCTTTTGTAGTATAAATTAACATTATTTTTCCGCTTGGAAACAGATTTCTTTAATGTTGTATTTTGATGAGCAAGATGCCAAACTGAAATATGGAAAATATGATGTCTTTAATGGTTTGGACTAATTAGTGATTCCATGTTGACGTAAAAGTCGTTAGAAATCAATATTAAGATTGTTTTAAATTTGAGTTTAAGCCTGCGTAGAGAAACTGAAATGGATCAAACATTTATCTCTTTCCTTTAGGTTAAAGAATGTTATATCAGAAGTGGAAAAGAAAGTGGGACGGATTCGAACTCCCAATAATAAGAACCCTCCTCGGACAATTGACCCGGACATTTCATTTTGGGATAATATGACGTGTCACTATACATCAAACACGGCCTGTTCAACAAATACCTGGTATAACGTGCAGATCGACTACAATACCTCAGCTGCAGATGCTTTAGTACTGGTTAAAAAGATGAACAGGTAACCCTGCTAGCTGTGTCGGTTTGTCTTTCTTTACGTAACCCTCTGGATTGGAACCCAAACAGCCCAATGGAAAGCAAAGCCCAAAATTTCGTTTTGAAAAATAAAAATATTATCAAATTAGGCATCACCATGAAGGAGAAGTCACACATTCAAGTACAACAGAAGTGGAAGAGCGCATCTTTGCTTAGTATATGCACAAAATCATCGATGCTATAGTTTAATAATCGTGTCTACATTTTTGCAGTTTTCGTTCAGGCTCAGCCAAATTAATTCATGGACTGACCTGGCCCGAGAGCCTAAGAAGACCGCAGAAAGAATAATTGAGGAGACTTTAGGGGCCTGGGGGCGATTAAACCTTTTAGTGAACAACGCTTCACAGTTTTATTAATCTAAAGTTGAAAACGTAACTGAAGAAGAATGGCATGGAAACATGAATAGCAACTTGAGTGCTCTATTTTTCCTTTCAAAAGGTAAGCCGTTTGTGTTTCTTTCTCGTTGGGATAAACAAATGACCAATCTTCTCTCTTGTCCATTGAATGCGGCTCCTGTAAACTGAAATGTTTTACTAGTTTTTGTCTTGCATATGTTTTAAGGTTATTTTATTATTATTGCTATTTTCTAATCTATTTTACTATTTGCTATCATAGTTTGTGACCTTTTTCTGAATGTTCATGTTAAATTTTAGCTCTTTTTTATGTGATGATATATTTTTTATGTAATAGATATTAGATCTGACGTGGTTAAAATTTTTTCCTGAGGTTTTTACTTTTTTCTAGTATATCAGGTGCCCGTTCAAACGAGTTTTTATTAACTCCTAAAAATTTCTTACTTACGAATTTTTTTGTGTATAATTCATCTTTTCCTTTGTAAATTCAAATATAGTAGGTTGCACGTGAGGAGGAAAGCTAAAGATGGCTATTACTGGGTGCTAGAAGTTCAAATTGTAGTTCTGCTCGCTCTCTGAGATAATTCGGAATCTTTTTATTTGGGTCCCTTTTAATTAGATACAAACGTCTGAAAAGCTAGTGACCAAATATTATTGTTCTAGAGTCTGAGGTAGGGAACCAGCCCGGGGCCATGACTTCTTAATGATCTGCAGGCTGCCCTGGTTGTAGCTAATAAATCTGACGTTAAAACTTTGGTGTTATACCTTTTATTAAGTGCAGTGAATTTGGCACTTTCTTATATTATGAACTTGGTACCAAGTCATTAGAAATATCTATGGTCTATTTCAGGCTGCCTTTC